AATAGTTCAAATTTATAAATTAATTTTCGCAAACATTTGATCAAATCATCCCAGATAAATTATGAATTTGTTAAAATTATATTTGCAGTTATATTCTTAGTCGCAATCTTGCCTGATTACAATTTTATAGTTTTTTTTTCAATATTATTACGGCCCTATTTTTTCATATTATTACTACCCTTTTGTTGCTTGTCCATCCCTCAGCAAATCGTCAAAAATATCGAATTTTGTGCGCCACCCTGTGCATGTGAATTACATATTTGACAATCAGCTGATACAACATTGACGTTTAACAGTTATTTCTTATATTATGTAACATGAGGATCTTTCTATGATGTAACGACTGTATTTCTATTAAGAAACAATTATTAATTTCATTTACAGATGATAACTGGAAATTGCTAGTGATTTTTTTTTTTGTTTTACCTAAATTACGAATTTAAATAAATAAATGCACAGGCGCATTCACAATAATAATAATTATTATTAAAATTTGCAAATAGTTCAAATTTATAAATAAAGTTTCGCAAACTTTTGATCAGATCATCCCAGATAAATTATGAATTTGTTAAAATTATATTTGTAGTTATATTCTTAGTCGCAATCTTGTAAAGTTTGTAAATTGAGTCGCATTCATAGCTGACAAGCCTAATTACAATTTTATAGTTTTTTTTTTCATATTATTACTACCCTTTTGTTGCTTGTAGATCCCTCAGCAAATCGTCAAAAATATCGACTTTTGTGCGCCACCCTGTGCATGTGAATTACATATTTGACAAACAGCTGATACAACATTGACGTTTAACAGTTATGTCTTATATTATGTAACATGATGATCTTTTTATGATGTAACGACTGTATTTCTATTAAGAAACAATTATTAATTTCATTTACAGATGATAACTGGAAATTGCTAGTGATTTCTTTTTTTGTTTTACCTAAATTACGAATTTAAATAAATAAACGCACAGGCGCATCCACAATAATAATAATAATTATTAAAATTTGCAAATAGTTCAAATTTATAAATAAAGTTTCGCAAACATTTGATCAAATCATCCCAGATAAATTATGAATTTGTTAAAATTATATTTGTAGTATTCTTAGTCGCAATCTTGTAAAGTTTGTAAATTGAGTCGCAATTTGAGGCCCTATTTTTTCATATTATTACTACCCTTTTGTTGCTTGTCCATCCCTCAGCAAATCGTCAAAAATATCGAATTTTGTGCGCCACCCTGTGCATGTGAATTACATATTTGACAATCAGCTGATACAACATTGACGTTTAACAGTTATGTCTTATATTATATAACATGAGGATCTTTCTATGATGTAACGACTGTATTTCTATTAAGAAACAATTGTTAATTTCATTTACAGATGATAAAGTTACAATCAACATTATAGCAAAGTAAAAATTCTGTATTGTTTAATTTATCCAATTGATTGTAAATTTCCAGAGGGCGCTAGAATCAAAACCAAATACATTCATTTCTTCGTAATTTTACTTACCTCCGTTCGTTGTGTTTACATTTTGCTTAATTTATATTAATTTAACAGTGAGCAATCTATAATTATAAGATATTTTGATTGGATTTGATCAATTTAATTAACTTTTATTATTAGATTGTTTTGAAAGTTTCGTTGAAAATGCTGAAGAAGAAACTGGATCGAAATTTACGATTTTCAGAAAACGAAGTCTATTACAATGGTGCTCCTCCTAACATCTGTCCTCACTTCTACAAACCTCCAGGTGTACCAGAAGACCTGCTCACATTGGATAAGCAAACGATAAAGAAAATGGATGTGCTCAAATTCGATAAGAAAAAGGTTCAGTATGTGTACAATCCTGTAGATTATGCTTATGCAGGCTATTCAAGGTACGTGAGAAAGTACCTGAAGAGTTCCAAAAAGATATTATTTGTTGGGTTAAACCCTGGTCCGTATGGCATGTGCCAAACTGGGATCCCCTTTGGTGATGTATCAACAGTCAAAGAGTGGATGGAATTAGAAATGGACATTTCAAAACCGCTAGATGAATGCCCCAAGAAACCTGTCGATGGTCTGAAATGCACGACCATTGAACAGAGTGGAAAACGTTTCTGGGGATTCTTCAAGAAGAAGTGCGGTGCAGCTGATAACTTCTTTCGTAACGCATTTGTTATAAACTATTGTCCAATTGCCTTCTTCGATAGAAGTGGTAAAAATGTGACACCCAATGAACTGGAGGTATTCTCGTCATGCTTATTGATAACAAGTACTGCTTATATATTGTGTGTATATTTAAGGTCAGCAGCAGGGAGGAACTGGAGAAGATCTGTGATGAGTATCTTGAGAAAGTTGTGGAGATGGTCAAGTGCGAGATAATCATATGCGTTGGGCGTTATGCTGAGCACAAAGTGAAATCTATTTTTATAGATAATTCTGAAATTAACATCCTCTATATGAAACATCCCAGTCCTCAGGTCGGCTCTGAGGACAACTGGCTTGCAGATGCACATGAATTCCTCATAGATAATCATTTGTCACAGTATTTTTCTGAATAACTATTATTTATTATTCGTACTGTTTATTTTATTTAAATATATACTATTCAACCAACAAAACAGATTTTAATTATTAACAATCGTATAATGTCGTGCATATTCGGTAAATGTACGCTTAACGATTAACTGTCATTTAAAATTTAAAAGATACGTCCACACTTCACTGGAATTGTTCGCACAACCTTTGTTCCTTGTTCTTTAAACAAATGAAAATCTTGATGTTTTTGTAGCCATTCATCGATTTATTGTAGCTGTAACAAAAGTAGAAAATACTTATTTAATGAATATCAAACCACGATGAGTATAGCAAAATTAAATTATTTGAACTGTTGTTTACTTACCACTATATTTCTAAAAACGTACATAACATGTCATCCCCTGGTCATAACAGCTTGGGTTTCCTTGGTCATAACTTATATTTATATTAGAAGCGGAATTATCATTATGAATTAGTTGGCAATTAAGAATTCTGGTAAATATGGAGCTATAAGTGGTATAAAAATATTAATATGTATATCATAATCTACTATTTTAATGAAATGTTGTTTGTTTTAGTGATTGAAAAATAAATTTATAGAAGCTTACTACTAAAGTGTACAGAACGTGAAATAAGTAAATAGTATATATTTATTTTCATCAAATGAGTATGACTTATAAGAGGTAAAATATATGCACTTACAGATAATCTACACTGACTGCAACAAAAAGTCTTGATATTTTTTTTTGCAGATCAACTGAACATCAAGTTAAATGTGGCCTGTGCTCAAGAAAAGTAACAAAAAAAGATTTTAAAGCACATGTTAAGAATTGTCATAGTGTGGATATTGTTGTGGAGAGTTTAAAGTTCGTTTCTATAGAGAAATTTAGGAAATGGAAAGCATCCTTGGAACAAGACACTGATATAAAATTCATCAGGAAATGTGGTAAGATTGTTGGTAGTCCGGATGTAATACGGTTCTATTGCCATCAATCTAAATGTTACACGGAATGTGGAAAACATCAAATAGAAAGAAGAAAAGTTATTGAGGCATACTGTCCAGCCAATATTAAACTGGTAGTGTTTCCAAATGGAAAGTGCTCTGTGAGATTTGTGAAGACCCATATTGGTCATCTGAATGTATACTATCCGAGTGGTTTCATAAAAAAAGTTGATGAAAATATAGTTGATATAAATCAGGTATGTGTATTTCAATATATTGATGTGTTTTAAAATAATCAATAATTGCAGAATGATTCAGCTTTAAATGAAGTATTAGAAAAGATGGGAACTGTTATGAAGAACAGTGGTAGTTTCAACGTTGACGTTTGGATTGAAAGTTTGAAGAAGTCCTGCTGCGTTTTATTTTATAAAGCCAAAGGGTCTATAATAGAAGAATGCAGATATCTTGCTTACAACGATTTCATTTTGATCGTAATGAGTCCAGCCCAAAGGAGGGTTTTGCAAAAAAAGGATTTCGATTTCATCTATGTCGGCGGTACACGTAATATAGATACCAATGGTTACGAGTTGATCACGTTGATGATAGTTGATGATACGCAGCAGAGTTTTCCGTGTGCGTTCTTCATCTCTAATCGGGTGGACGAAGTTGTTTTGAATTTTTTTTTCTCTTTCGTTAAGGAAACCTGCGGAAAACTGTTGCCGAACTTTTTCATGTCCGATATAAACGGTATGTATTTCGATGCGTGGATCTCCATTATGAACATGCTAGTATCAATGGAATGGCTCTATACTGAAAACAGTGTGAAAACTGATTGGAAGAAGAACCAAACGAAAATCAAGAGCGCGAAGAAACGTAACGAGATTTACGAACTTTTGACTAAAATCATGTCAGAGAATAATGAGGATAGCTTTGATCAGCTGATTGATTCACTGAAGACGAAGTTAACAGACGATTCAGAACTTGTCGAATATGACAAGTACATTACTGATAATTACTTGGATCATTGTAGTAATTGGGCTTATTGCTATAGGAAGAAATACGGTAAAGAAACTAGTATTAATGTTGAGAGAATGGAAAAGTTATTGGAATCGTTGTATCTCAATGAGAATTACGCTGCTCGTTTGGATAAATCCGTTGAGCATTTACTAAAATTCGTCGATGATAGGCTGTGCTTCACCGACGAACGAAAACTAGTTAGCAAATTAAAAAATTCCCAATCAAGGCACGAGAATAGCTTAAAACTAAACAACACGAATTGCGAGAAACTGGGAAATAAATGGCAGATTACATCTGACGATACGCAGGAATTCTATTACGTAACGGAGAATCTTGTCGGATGTTCGTGCAGTTTCAGATGCGAGCAATGCGATTGCTGCATTCATAAATATTGTTGCACGTGCGACGACAATGCTATCAATTGGAATATATGCAAACATATTCATTATATCTGTAAATTATTTGCTAATAAATATAAAGGTAGAAGATTTTGATTTTAAATTTTAATAAATTTATATGTTCATTCTAGGTGGTACATCCGATGCTGACGAAAGGAAGAAAATTGAAAGCGATTTATATGATTTGTTGAAGAAGATAGATTCAATTGATTCGAAAGATTTAAATATTTTAAAGTACGGGATTTATATGATTAAAGCATCGATGTCTAAAGGAAATTAGAATTAATTTATTTAATAAAATTGATAATGAAGAGATTATCTAATAATTGTAAATAAATGTATGATTTTATAATGGAATTTATTAAATTATATTATGTATTTATTTTCTAAATTATTATCTCTACCATCACATTTTTTTTTTGTTAATTTTGTCCAAGTTTTGAAATTTTGTCACACACATTTAAAACGCCATCTTCAGGGTAATTAGTTTATTATTAGATAACTTCGATCGTCAATGTTCGCTAATATTGTGTTGTTGCAGGTTAGGGTGTTGGGGTAGGTTTACTTATATATCAAATTAAATATGCTTCTGATGATAAATCTATAGTCACAATATTTTGATTTCTTATATTATTATTATATCACAAGCAAAACGTACTTACGTAAATTTGTTGAATTTATGTGCGTACCTTCAAACCTGTTTTACATGGTAGATTTGTTCCTGAAGAAAGGCATAAATCAGAAGTGGCCAACACTTCGATCGCGATCAAGATATGTCTATAAAATTCGAAACACACTCACGAAATGCTGACAAAACTGGACAAGGCAATAGTAACATGCTACTTAACATTTAAGTAATGTAGCGTAAAATTAGGGGAATCCCCATTTGACCAAATCTTGTAAAAGTAATACCTACAACTAGTGCAAGTGATTGTACATAGAAGTTACTTGTAAAATATCTAGTATTTGTCTTAGAATGTATAGGTGTTGAGGAGATTTATCTGTTATTTTCATAATTTTATAAAAATAATTTATTAATTGGTTTGAAAATGAAAAGCGTCAATATGTCACATTTGATAATATTGAACAGTTGAATCAATGAATAATATTTATTTCGTATCTTGTCAATTTCTATAGTATTATCGCGTGATGTGCGTTTGGAATCGTTAATGTTCCGCGGTTTCAGTAAACTGTTCAAGAAGAAGCCGGTCGAGGTTTTCGTGAAAACGAAGATGACGACGAGCGTCGCCAAGAAGCGCTTCCTGGTGAACCAGATGCCGGACTTCGCCGAGAACCAGGTGGAGGTGCCGACGGAGCAGATAATCAAGCAAATCAACGAGTACATATCGGATATAAGGGAGAACTTCCAGCCGACCGAACGTAATGGGAAGGACGGGCTGTATTTGGGTACGGCCGGCGTCGCCTACATGTACTACCATTTGAGTAAAGTGCCGGCGATGGGTGCGCGCAGAGAGGAGTTGCTGAGGGAAGCTGTGGAGTATTTAAGACCGGCCCTCGATGTGTGCACTTACGAAGTGAACGAGATGAATATACCGGGTCTTCTGCTCGGAAATTGCGGTGTTTATGCAGTCGCCTCGGCTGTGTTCGCTGCAACAGGAGAAGAGAAGGAAAGTCTTCGTTACAGAGAGTTGTACAACGATGCGGCGAAGTACTGCAAGGAATTGAATTTCCTTCCGTACGGATCCGACGAGTTGTTCGTCGGAAGGGCCGGTTACATCTGCGGCGCTATATGGATGTCCAGGCAAACGGCGAAAGCGTTCAAAACCGAAGACATCTTCGACTTGTGCAGAATCGTCGTCCTATCCGGAAAGCAGTACGCTCAATCTACGAAGACGCCTTCATCCCTAATGTATTCCTATTACGATGTCGAGTATTTAGGAGCAGGTCACGGTATATGCTCGATCCTTCTAATCCTCATGTCCGTCCCAGGATATCTGGACGCGAATCCCTTAGACGCTAAGGTGGTTCAGGATGCCGTCGATTACCTTCTATCTTTGCAAGATGAGCACGGTAACTTTCCAGCAGCAACCGACGAGATCAAGAATCAGAGCAACGAGTTGATCCATTGGTGCCACGGAGCCGGGGGCGTCGTCTATCTGATGGCGAAGGCGTATCTCTCATGGAAAAATGACAAGTATTTGAAGGCTTGCGAGAGGGCGGCCGACCTGATCTGGGAGAAGGGTCTGTTACGTAAAGGACCTGGCCTGTGCCACGGCGTTGCGGGCAACGGTTACGTTTTCCTGCTGCTGCACAGATTGACCGGCAAAGATAAATACTTGCATAGGGCCATCAAATTCTCAGAGTTTCTCGAGGACGCCCACTTCAAGCAGATGGCACGCGTTCCGGACAACCCGCACAGTTTGTTCGAAGGCATCGCAGGAACGGTTTGCTTCCTCTCCGATATGCTGCAGCCCCAAAACGCGGCCTTTCCCTTCCTCGACGTCTTTTAATTCAATCAAATTCTTAATCACTCAAATTCAAATCCCATGTTTATTGTAAATCTATTCGATTTAATAAAAGATGTTTGTTCTGTTTCATAATTTGGTAGTTTCATCATTTACTGAACCTGAAAAAAAATAATATCATATCGTAGTATGTTTCGATACTTGTGTAAATTGTAAAAGTTAGTTTTCATACCACAGCATTTCCCGTTTTGTATCTACTTTGATAGTATTATCAATACCAAAAATAAATAAATAAATGAAATTCAATCAGTGTTGATAAAATAATAGTAGCATATCCGGTGGACCTCGTTTAATCCGTTCCAAAATTTCCGGATTTTTACTCGTATGTTTCAACTTATTCAAAAATACACATAATATGTGTACATGTAGTCTTGAAAATGATAAATAAAAGCTTTCTATTGATTCGCTAGATGACGCTACAATAAAATCGATTAATTATCACCATTTCTCTTTCAAACTATATTGCTTTTTTGTTTGTTTAAATTACTTAGAACTATTGTTTCACGAGATGGCGCCACCATCAATTTGATAAAGAATCAAGAAATATCAATTATCACGATAGCTTTGAAATTTGCCTCGAGTCAATTAAAAAGCAAAAATCAACGATGAAAATTAATTCAATCAATCATCTTGTAATTACTAGAACATAATTAATTGCAAATTACGAAACCATTATAGAAATGTCACTTTTTTTTTTTGAATTTCGCAATTATCATCTACATTAATTATTTTACAAAATTTATCAAAACTAATTATTTTTTATTCACATATTTTGTATAAATAGAAAATGATTGAAATTAAATTTAAAAAATTGAACGAAATGAAGATTTCAAAATGTTTATAATTTCCAAAAATAAATGTGTTAAGTAAATATTATTTTAAAGTAGTAAATTAAACTACTGGCATGTCCATTATGGAAATTCTTAAAATCACCTTGAAATAATCAACACAATTCTGCATAGTGCACTTATTTATAAATGTGTAATTCTCATTTCGAATCATTAATAGAACTTTTATTTACGTACAAAATAACATGCAATTATCTTGAATTGAAATATAACAATGTTTATTACACGCAATTAAAACATATTTAATTTGTTACATCTTTAAACTATTTCAAAATAAAATAATTTAATCATTAAATTCCAACATTTTTATGTTTTTTCTCTACTATTTATAATCATCAAAACAAATATTTATATAACATTTTAAGCAGGAAACCAAATACGAAATGTGAAATTTTATGCAATTATCATAAACCTTGATTGAATGAAGCATGTTGTGTAAATCGGTGAAAATAAAATGGATGAATTTTTTTTTTATATTAAATTATATTTTAAAGTAGTAATGCGAAACATTATATAAAAATAGTCGAAATCACCTTGAAAATGCACAGAGACTGCATTTATTATTTACAAACGAGTAATTTCCATTTTATTTTATCAATAAGGAAATATTATCTAAAATGTTATTAATTGGATCAGTTTGTATTCACTATAGTTCGGTTTGAAAATTTCAAAACAAACTAAGATTTGATTGAGCAAAAAAATAAATCTAAAATTAAGTACACAATTTTATTATTATTATTATATATATATGATCGATTTTTTTTTCACTTTACACTCAAGTCTCAGTTTATGCGTTTATCCGGACTATGCGAGGTTTTGCTGTACTAATTTGTATGCATTAAAATATATAGATAATGTTCATTTAATCATGCTACAAAGTTCATAATGGAATAACAAAAATAGGATAAAATAACATTAAATCTAATATGTTGATATGTGACATTTTTTTTTGTTGTTAATCAATAACTTGTAATTATTATAAATATTATAAGAATATTGTTTTTTTTTTCGCTATAAAATTGTAATTTGTGTACAGCAATACCTCACACAATCCAGCTTCGATTAGTCCGGATTCACTACAGTCCGGACTACAGTGAATCAAATAGAAATAAAAACTAAATAGAAAACAGTACACTTTTTCTTCATACATATTATTTAATACTAATAATTAAATATAATAATTAAAGTTCTTGATTAGTCCGGTTTTAAAAAACTATTGTGCGAACCGATTACCTAGACTATACGAGGTGTGTACACAAGTTTTAAAAATGATCTAGCAGGCGCGTAATCAAGTCATTTTTTTTACAATTCGTTATGCGAGGTGCTCGTTATTTCGATTTATAAGTAAATAAATAACAATTTCTAATTATTAAAAAAAATCTTATTTTTTTTATGAACTTGTTAAGTTGCTGATGAAGATGCATATCTAAAATAACAATTAACACAATTTAAATGACTAAAATTAATGGAAAATATTTCAAATTAATTATCAACATGTTGCCAACATAATATGTATTTGTATCCAATTGAATTTATGTTATCTGCAGTTGGTTAATCTGCTCAGTGGTGGAAGTGGGCGAAGGTTATGTATAGTGTGAGAAGATACAAAACACATAATAAGTTCTTTAATATTTATGTTGGAGTGTTTTTTAGATGGGTTATCATTTGGGTGTTGAGGTATAAGACGAGTAGTGAATATAAAGATCGTATCGCATGCCAGTATACGCTTAGGTGTATCATTATAACCAAGTAGTTAAACTAATATTAAATTAGTAAGTAAATTTGTTATGTGAGAGATGTGTAGATAGATACGTTTTATCTCTAAGGATGAATCATCATCGTTTATGTGTGAATAACACTTGCATTTCCTCCACAGATGATGGAGGTCTACATCACAATACTGATTATTGTCACAATTTGTATCCTATTCTCTGTCTGCGGATGGTGCTGCAAACGGCACAAGCAAGGAATTGTCTATGGATGTAAGTACTAATTTCAATTCTTGCACAATATTTCTAAAAAAAAAAACATCAATTCCATTTTAATACGCAGATACTCAACAAGCTGTCCCAACAACAAATCAAAATATTGTGATACAATCCTCAACAACAGTTCCACCGTATCCAACGGATGTGAGACATCCGACACCCCACGTGATTCAACCACCAGCTCCAGGTTTTTCTGTTCCACCTTCTAATATGTATCCACCAAACACAGGTAATAACACATTATTTTATATAATTATGAATTAAGTATATACATGTTTATTTGAGCTTGATCATTTTACTTGGATGGGTGACTAATTAACATATAGAATGACTATTAACACTAAAAAGACAACATGAAAAAGAAAAAACATAATCACTTTTATTTGTATTGAAATTTCCAATTGAATTGCAAAGTTATTAAATGGTTTATTATTATTAATCCAGCGCCTGGTTTCTACTTTCCTCCTCAAATGGGTATGCCAATGGGTATGTTTGGTTGCATATTAATAACATTTTTTGCTTGAGTTTTTATTTATTTTTGCTTGTAGTTAGTAAAATATCATCTCATCATTTGGTAGAGTGAAACCAATTAATTTGTTTACATATTCATTATGATGTAACCAGTTTCTTGATGGCATTATGTTAATCATCATCAAGTCCTTTGCATATATATTACATTCACTCGATTACTAATTTGTAGTATTTTTGCTTCCTTAGTTTTTGTTAAAAAAATAGAAAGTTTACTTATTTTTTTTTTCTAAATACTTATTATGATTTCAATGAATTCAAGTTTGAGTCAATGTGGGGAAAGTTGTAATTCCGGTTTTAGTTTTATTTGCTTTTAATATTCTTTTTTATAACTTACTTCGCGTTTGTTGAACGATTTTATTTACTCTAAATTTTCTTTATTTCCTTTTATATAAAAAAAGACTTAATTCTTTTTTAGTTAATTACAGTCGATTCCGCTTAATTAGTACATTACTACATTTTGTCCCAATTGTCTGCAGTTAAAAAAAAAAACAGGATTAGTGTTTTTTTTTTAAATATTTTATTTAATAAAACATATTAAAATGAATAGTATTCGTACTACATAATAGAAAACAATATAAATTCTGGAACAATAAATATGTATGTATAAATATGTTGTTCAGAAAAAAGCGGAGTAAATTTGTATAGAAAATCATAGTTTTCTTTCCGTTCTTTAGGATTTGTCCCTAATAAGCGGCTGTCCTGATAAACTGTTGTCCCAATTAAGCAGAATCGACTGCATATATTATAATTTAACTTGTTAACTGGTTAAAGTAGTTTAAACAGATGCTACTATCAACCAGTTTCACTATATGTTAGTGATATTAACTAGTTTGTTTGACAAGATTTATATGTTAAGATGTAATAATTTATGTTATTAAATCAAAATCATTTACGTTGTTGCTATGCGGTTAATGATGCTTTTAGAATGTGAAGGTGATCACCTTTTGACGATTCACTAAAAATTTAGATTTATTTAAATTATTGGTTCGTGCCGATTTTCATTAAGAATTATTGATTTGTGTACATATTGTGAAAGATTTAGAATTAGAAAAATGATTTGTGTCAGTTTAGTACCCTCTTGAAGATGCAAGCAAATAAAGTACATTTTAGTCTTTGATCATTTTCTATTTCTAGCAAGACAAAGATCTTAAAAAAGCAATAACTAAGATATATTATTATTAATCTGGCTGAAATAACTGCGCAAAAGTAATTCGCTAAGTTTAGAGCTGATGATTTCAGCTTTCAAGGTCCACTAGTAATAATAATGATATCACGACATTGATTGATAATAACTCGCACTACATGATACGTAAATTAGCAGAGATATTACAAAAAAAAATAACTTTGACAAATAAACCGTTACTATGTGTGAAATCCGCACAAATCAACGGACAAAAATCACGACAATGTTTCCTTTATTACTCCACAAAATTTGACTGATTTGTATTACTCCAACTGCAGTATTCATCAGACAGTTTTTTTTTACCAAAAACCTTATAAATATTACAAGTTGCGTTGAAAGATGAAGCAATATACACCTTTTAAAATTTATATATCAATATATAAAAAGCAATAGTTTTTTTTTAAACATAATATTCCATAAATTTCAGCTTCGAAATTTATAAATCCTCTTTTTGGATGAAATTGCTAATTTAGAAATTGCTCATAAGAAAGTTTTTAAATTGAAAGTAGAGGAAAATTATCTTTAGTTTTCTTATTAATATAAGTAATATAATTAATATTCGCTACTTTTAACACATTACTTTAATTTGCTTTAATAGTTAACTTATTCTCGCCTTATGATCGCCAATTCGTAGAATTGCCTTTAGTTGTTTACATTGTTTTTCAGCATGTATTTTTTTTTAATTGCAAATTTTTCTTTGATTAATTTCATTGAAACATACATAAATGACTCGCATAGTGCGGTTAATTGGTTCCGTTAATATCAGTTTGAAACAGTACTAACCGAGGACAAAAAGAGATATTGAAATTGAAATTCAATATAAGATTTACGTCTTTTTCATTTAAAAATTGATATTTTCAATGCTTTTTCTAGGTTTTTTTTTTAAATTGCTTAATATTGCCTAGATAACTAAGTTTTTAAGTTGTTATTGAAGTGTTTCTGTTACAAAAAGTAGACGTTGTTGTAATTATAAACGTAACAAGGGAATGTTAAATTTAACGAATTACAATACCTGAAATGCGTTTCTTTTTTTAGGTGGTGGATACCCTCCAGCTGCAGGTTTTATGCCAACAAATGCGTACCCGCCCCCAGCGATGAACAATCATTCGGCGCCGCCTCCATCCTACACGGAGGCAGTAGGCTCCGGAGGAATGCCACACCCCAACCCAATACCGACCAATGAAATGTACGCCAAACAAATGCCATACAATCCAAACTACTCATAATCATACTATATATTTTTTTTTCGGAATGATGAGTGCCTACATCCAAATATTCTAAAAATATTAAAAAAAAAACACACACGCAACTTTGTTTATCCCAAACATTTATGAATAGTTGTACTGACTGTGAGTGTGAGCTTTAATTTCATTTAAAAAAGAACAACAAAAATAAGAACAACAGCCCTGATAATAATAATAATTTTATTTGATTAATTCACGTGCTGTTAATTTGTGATTATAATTAGATTTTCCTTTCTCAAGTCAAATTGAAAAGGCAACTAAAAATTTATACAGATGATAACAAAACGAAAAGAACAATATTGGAGCTGGATTTCCAAAGAGTCATACATTAATTATCACATACATGCCTTTTATTATTATACGATTCTTAATTGGAAAATAATATGAGTTTTCTTCCATAATATTATCCTTTCTTTTTGATACATTTTCTAGTTTCGATTACATATTATGAATATATGAAACAACAAACCTTTAATTGGACAATAACCTGTAGCACCTGGGATCTTAATTATCTGGTTTGTTTCTTTTCTATTCTCTTATCTGTAAACACGTTCGTGTCTGTTTATTATTTTTCTCAATTGTTTCATTTGTTAAAATAATGATTATTTATGTATTGTATTGTATTCATATAATGTTTAGTTTAGTTTATTGGAATTGCATATTATTTTATGTTCGTTTTTAATTCTAAATATAAAATATTTTTTACGAATTTCTTCCGTACATCATCAGTTGTGATCGCTGAAATTCCTTGAATCCTCTTTTTTTTGTTTTGTTATTAATTCAATTTCGTATTTGTCAATTCGTTTGACGTATTTCAAAGAGAATGGAGAATTTTCTCGCGAAGAAGTACAAATTGGTGTCCAGCGAAAACTTCGATGAATTCATGAAAGCCGTTGGAGTTGGTCTCGTGACAAGGAAGATCGGTAACTCGCTGAGCCCGGTCATCGAGTTGAGTATGAACGGTGACGACTGCTACGTCTTATCTTCAACTTCGACCTTCAAAAATGTTGTAACGAAGTTCAAACCCGGAATTGAAATAGACGATGAAACGCCTGACGGGAGGAAGGTGAAGTCTTTCTTCTGTGTAGATGGTAACGTCGTTACAGAGAAGCAGATCGATGCAGCCGGTAAAGTTACAACAATCGAAAGGACGTGGACCGAGGATGAAGTTAAGATGATCTTGAAAGTTGACGGCGTTACCTGCACCAGAATCTACAAGGCCTTATCTGCATGATTGTAATTTCATTGAATTGCACTGAAAACTTCTTAAATTGTCCAATAGTTTGCTACCAGACGTAGGTGTAATATGGCCAAGACTAAATATTTTCCATTTTTCTGATTCATTTCTCATAGGTTTAGTAAATAAAAAAAAAATACATAATTCTTATGATATTGGAATTCCTGCAATTTGTATTTTGTATAAAATAAATCCTGTTGCGATAAATTGTATTAAAAAAATGGTATTATATGGGCTTCGTTCTTTCAAAGATAAAAAATGTTTTTTTTACTCTGATAAAACCTACTGTATTACGTGTAACAATCTGCTCTCTGTTGAAAATGATTCTACTTGCCAAGTAAGTTTATGATTACAAAATGATCAAGTTTTCACAGGAGTTTTCTTAAGAGTTTGAGGATCTGGTGGACAAAAGTACACAGTTTATATGCTTGATAAACAGTAAAAACCCTTTAAAAACATTCATTGTAGATTGTGTAGTCCTTGCTGCAGATTATCCCTATGTTATTTTTAATTTAAAACTTATGTATTTCAAATAATCAAAAATGAACTAGTAGATTTATAACAAGTATAGTTATACTATATGATTTTACACTTATATAGAACTAAAGCCTATAGTTACCTTACTGTAAATGTAAGATATTAGATATTACCACAATGATAATTCTATTACTGTACACTTCTTGAGTAGATTTAAATAGTTTACTATAAATTGAAGGAAAGAAATATAAATTTTTATGCAGAAGAAAAAAAAACGGACAACAACTATGTGCAACTGATAGTACTATCTCTCAGTCGATTCAAACATTTCAAAGACGTCTTTAGGCTGCAAAATTTCCAGGATGATGCCAAAGTCCCATCCAAAGTCAACGATTATTCAAAGAAATCGCAGTTTCGAATCAAAAGAAACTGTTGGTGACTGAAAGATGTGGATAGAAATGTGACGATATTGACGCCTCCATACCGGATGATCTCCGATTTGCATAGTTGAATGTCTTTCAAGGAGCGACAGCTCTGAAGGAGGTAATGAAATTTTTGGTTAAAAAAAAATGTTAAAAACGAACGACTTCGCCGAGATATGCAAGCTGAACATATGGGTAATGGAGATGATGAGCACGAGGAATGATATATTTATTCTTTTGTGTTAATTTTAATAAGTGTTGATTTCTCTGTTCATTTTAATATCTTACTTTTATCTATTTTATTTAACCAACTTAATTTATTTATTTGTTTTAACTTGTTAAATTCTTTTGTATGACCTGTTTGTGATTGTATCCATATTTATTATGTTGAATTAATGCGTAAAATGTGCAGAAAGCATGAGGAAAAGTTCTCTTAAGAGGTTGAGATTGTTGTGAAGACGGCAGACTACTTTAAATATATCTATATCAGGTGCAAGTACTTTGAGAAACTATTTCAGTGAATTACGTCGATGTCATTTAACTCGCGAGCATTGAAACGAAAGGTGTTTTCATAACTTTTATTAGAAGTAATTTTAATTCAAGCATGTTTATCAGAAACGTTTTGCTATCAGTTTTGTCTATTCGCAGACTTTTTCTGTTCTTCTGCGATCATCCAATATAAAGATTTATATTTGTTTCCTTTCATTTACAGTAAACTATTTAAATGTACTCAAGAAATGTATATTAATAGAATTATCATTGTGTGTGTTTTTTTTTTCACAGTAATTTTATATTTCCTTAATGAATAATAGGAGAATAAATAGTGCATAACATTTCTTTTTTCAACTTCCTTTACTTCTTGGCCCTATATTTCTCTTCCTTTTCTTTCTCTTCAACATCTGAACAACTTCTTTGTCCTTTTCTCTTTCTTTACCTTCTTCATTAAGGTGAGTGAGTGAGCACATCATCATCTTCTTCAGATTCATTCTTTTTCTTTTAGATGATTCAAGTTGTGCAGACAAGGGTATATCTTCTTCACTTCCTTCATCTTCAACCCTATCTTTCAATTGAGATAAATTATAAATGTTTGGATCCTTTTCATAGATGTCCTCATCATTTTCTTCTTTCACCTGATGGTGATTTTCTTCTTTAATAACTAATTTTTGGTCATTTTATTATTTATTGGATGAGCATAAGATTTTTCTTTATCATTTTCATTTAATCCATGTTCATGTCCATTTAATCCATTCTTTGCCTTCGATTTCAATTCTTCAGAAAACTTTACTAAGCGTTTCAATTCATTCTGCCAAGATTGAACCATATGAGCCATAAAAACTCTCTACCAATTTCGCCAAAAATTCAATCTTTTGCCTACAGACTGAAATCTCTTTGTTCCAGTCGTAAATCAGCGCCGTTATAGGATTTAAAACATCCCCAGTTTCCTGCAATAGAAGAGGCGCAAGTTTTCTCTAATGACTAACTCAGATACTTGACAAATATAAAATATGTTTTATCTGAAAAAGGTCTTATATTTAAAGACGGTGAAGATAATCAAATGAATGTAAGTGCTTTCAATACACAACCTATTATCAATTGGCAATGGAATAAAACTGATCTATATTGCACATTGTATTTATGTATCTATTTGGAAAATTCGACTAGTTCACGTTAGGAATTACGATAATCGACTTGACTTTCCTGTATAAAGTAAAACTAAAACGATCATTTATGTATAAAAAAAATATAATTTTATTTATTTACTCAATTAAAATTTTGTTTATTTTGAAATATTCAAACCTGATTATATTAAATCCGCACTGATCTAAACCATATTATGAGAGCTATTGATGTATTAAACTAAATTATTCAAAGTAAGTAAAAAAAAAATGTTAAAAAAAAACGGTACTAATGGAAAATTATAAAACTTTATATAAATTTAACTGCACAAAAAGGGACTTGCACAGTAAAGGATAAAAAAAAAGATAATTTATGTATACAAAAACAATGTTGTGATCTAATTTATTACAATTGATTTTTACTTTATCAATTACAATTTAGTTTATTTTGAAATTTTCAAACTAGTATCTGTAATATACGAAGTATTGCATATCACGAAATCATTGCATTATGTATTTATTCATCTAAAGCAGTGGTTTCCAAACTTGATGTTAATACGCCCGCCCAGTATTTCATAAAATAGATAAAACTTTAGCAGTCATTTAGAAAATTTGCTCATTGTGACTAATATTTGCGCCTACCCTAAGAAGACGCGCATCATAGTTTTGATCTATAGAGACTTTGGATGTAATGATAGAATGGTTACAACGTTTAAATTGTAACAAATATAAAGAATTAATATTAAGTAACTTTGATTATAACATATCTTAAGGCGTAACCAAATAAACAAGATAATTATTATGACAAATATATTTTTAAGCATGAAGTGTTTGTTTACATAATTTTATACTTACGCATCTACCATCGATATATGAAAACTATTGCACCTCGCATTCATTTTTTAACTAAAAAAATAGGTTTTTGAGACTAGACTTAAAATATAAATGAATGATTTTAATTATTTGATTAAAAAAAAACATTTTGACAGCATAAACTTAAGTAATGGAGCGCTGGCTGATATAATAGCTCTTTGTCTAACATAATTTTTGTTTGCTGATGCGAATTTAGAAAGAAATCTAATAAAATATATGTAGTAGAATACAAACTTACAACAAATAAAATGAAACAAAATACAAATACTCAATGCCAAAAGCGTCTCGATTAGGAAGAAATTTTGCAATTTAGTAATGAATGCGACGTTTCTGTGAACGTAGCAAATAACAGTCTATTTCTACAAATTTTCTATCTAAAACAAAGATCTGTTTGAGCAATAGATCTGTAGACATTCCTTCTTTTTTAAAATCATATTTTCTGAAAAAAATAAGAAATGAAATAAAATGTTATAGTCATTTACATAGGATAAAGTATTCTGTTTTTTTTTTTTTGAAAAAGTCGGTTTTTGTATTAACCCTACATTAGATCATGCTTCTCGAATAGCTAGATTATCTTAAATTTTTTAAAAGACAAGTACTCTTTCTTATTCTGAACATGATTTGCAACGAATTGTGTTTAAATCAAGGTTGCTTAGGAAATGCAATGACTTCGAATAATAGTATCATCATAGAGAGAGAGAGGGAGAGAGAGAGACGTAAATAACAGCAACGATTGCAACTTAATTACAGTGACAACTCTATAGAAAAGAATGCTGTGAAACAAACAAACAAACGATTAGATTTGTTATATTGAAACAAACGAACTTGCAGACAGACACAAAAGTGTCTTGATTTATAATCACAACAACAACAATAACAGAAATTGAATTCGTTTAATTTCCAGCACGAACGATGAGAGCGCGCGCTTCGCCTTTTATCAACGCCCTGATAACAAAATTTCTGGATCCTAATATAAAAGGTATAAATCACAATCAAGAGAGAGCTTCAAGACAGACGAGAGAGAGAAATAAAAGAGAGAGAATGCCGTACATGTTTCGTCGTACTCGCAAAATCCATCCCGACTGTCTCTCCTACCATTCCTGAATAAATATTGCAAAAAAAAAAAAACAAAAACAAAAGACAGAGGAAGAAGCAGCATTTGTTTATTTTTGTTTCGTTTTCTGTCTCTGCTCATTATTCTTATTTTGGATAAAAGAGAAAGAGAGAGAGAGAGAGAGAGAGAATCAGAGTGCGTTCTTTTTTTTAGTGGAGTGTTGTTGCTGCTGCTGCTGCTGTTGTTATTATCACACTTTGTATTGATTATACTTAGTATAAGAAGATGCTGCTGGAGATTGCGTTCTTCGCGCTTTGTCTTGTGCTCTTCCTGACGCACATGATCTGCTGCTGCGCGAACGGTACGTTCAAAAAATCCGAAAATCGTAAGTACAACAAAAAAAAACAATAAATAAATAATTTGCTGCAACCCAATATGTAATTGTTATACGCATTTTCGAGGCCGGATGATGTCTTATGCAATAAGCATCAACTTGATCTTGATCTTGGTCTCAAGTGGATCAAAAGTTCAATTACACCTATGCAATTCAATGTTTTAATTCACTTAATCCTAGATTTCCATTGTTATACCTGCATTGACACGAATTCCCACAATACAATTTTGTTCAAAAGTCTATTAATAATATAGTTGCTAACGCAATTTTACATATAATATATATTATATATATATATAACAGTTTTCTTACGCATCATCTAAATTG